CCCTGGGCCAAATGCTAGTGACTGCTGCTGAGCAGGGCAGCTCTGGTTTTAAAGAGTGCCTGAGTGTGCTCCCACTACTAGAAGGTTTAAATCAGGTGTCTGAAAACTGTGGTGACTCCCAGCATCCCCACCTGGCCTGCTGAGAAGAGCACACCTGTCACACACCACACGAGGGGCCTAGAAGAAACCTCAGACATTCTGCCTGCAGCAAAAAGGTTGGTACTGGGGCTTTTTTGGTGTAGCTTCAGAACGACCAGGGGCAGGAGTTCCAGTCAGACATGGCCACTGAGGCCCCAAGCACAGGAGAAGACAAACGGCAGGCACATGAGGTGGACATTCGGCCTTTACCAGGGGCATCCAGCAGTGAGGTACGCGGCCCCAAGGCCCAGTGAGAGACTGCTAGGCATCCCAGGCTGAAGAAGCAATCCCTAGGGGCTGACTGTAATGACCTGGGGACTCCTCTAGAGACAGAGTGTCCTACATCTCGACTGTCCTGTCATGTCACAGAAACGCACAGCTTGAAGGGATGGTCTTACCACGTGAATGGCTAATGGGCAGCTCAACAAGTTAACAATGCAAAGATGACTGAGGTCTCTTCTTAAGCTAAGTTCCAGACTTTTCTTTATCAGCCTGCATTTGATCAGTACTTGTCACAGTATGAGGGGACATGGGGGGGTTCCCGGGACACAGGACTTCCTGACTTAAGATCCCAGTTCCTGGAACACTCAGCACAAAGCTGAGATGGTCTGGCTCCCTAAAATGCATCTCAAAACCCTGCTACTGGTCCTTCTGCTGGAGCAGCTGCTGCAGCCCCTGAAATTCGAACACCTGCTGACCTGACAGACTGTTTCTCTTGCCTCTGACAGAAAGAGACCAGCCAAGTAAACAGTGGCTTAGATGTTCATTAACGTATTTCAAGATGTTTCAACACGGAACATCAGGCATTCGGCATGTACTCGGTCTCTCTCTGCCCTGGGCCGCCCATCCTCACCTACAGGCTACACTAGACTGCTGGGGGCTTCCAGCTGCACTGGCAGTGGAATAAGTTGAACATGAGCTC